TGCAGGAAGAATAAATATTCCCGTGTCCTAACTCTAACCCAGATGCTACCTCTAACCCTACCCTTAACCCTGGTTCAAACCTTAACCGTAACCACAATTCCCTTTAAATTTAGCGTAAAATCACCCGTATTGCGGACGGTTTCTGTCCACACTTCCCGCCGGGATCCACACATGCTATCCCTAGAGAAGATTTTTGGCTTCGACTCGAAAATTGATAATATTGTCTCCAGCGCAAACGAATCGTCGTAAGAGAATACGGCTGATTTTATAGTGCAGTCAAACCAGTCTATTGAGGCGTAAAGTTCCCAGTCTGACTAGGTGAAATGGAGCAAGATCCCGTCTCATTCCTTAAGCAGAATGTACAGACAACAGTTTTGTTGGGCCAGGTAATCGTATATAGTGTGAGTAACCAGAGACAATGACAACATCCAAATTAACGCACAGGACTCTATACAGGCACCAAACGGAGTTTTCTGCTCCCTGTGGGCTTTGAAAAGACTCGAGTGCGGTTTTTAAAGAATGTCCGAACCAAAAAGTTAAGAGAGTGAGCTAGGACTGCAGTTATACATCAAGAAGAACAAATGAATAATAAGCGAAGCAATGGTCCACTGTTTCCGCCGAAATTTATGAGAATAGAACGGGCACAGGTCATAGGGAGAAGCTGTTAGTTTGCATCGGAAGATACGTGTGTCCCACTCAGTAACAGAACTAACTCCCAATATCTTAGTGAACCCAACTGCACTGTGCATCCGGAGTGGAGAGGGAACCAGGAGAAGTCGAGTGCTCCTATGCATGCTGACGTGATCTGAACCATCCTGTCGATGGGGCCAGTTTACTAGGAGTGACCATAAGCAAGCAGCGGATTCTCTTCGACGCTACTAGTTGTGAAAACAGATCCGGGAGTTGTAGGCTATCGTCCTTGGAAGCGGATTAAAGAAAATGCATTCTAGCTAAATAAAGACATGTCCTTGATGGGGATTCTAGCGTCCTGGATAATGATCGTTTCCTTAACGTGGGTCAGCCGCATCATTAAAAAGTGCTCGATCTCCAGAATAGGATAATACTATATATCCTGCGAATATTGTATGTTGAGTAATCATCGGATTTTGGGAATAAGTGCTTCTTGGTTGGCAAAGCCCCTGGTATCATAGCTTTCCAATATCTAAGAGAATCGGTTTATGATCAGATAAGTAGAAGGACACTCTCTGACGAATATTAGATTTTCGTTGGCCGAATTGATTAGATGAGAAGCCCACCGTGTCGTGACGCTGTCGCAGAGGCGCGCAAACGGTAGTGTTGCATGCGCTAGTCGTGATTGGTGAGAATGTAGCTCGTCGTAATATACAGAAAGTAGCTTTTACTTAACGTGGATCTGATTGCCAGAGAAATTTTGTAAAGTTCACCTACCACTGGCAGCGTACTTTTGTGGCTGCCGAGAATTCGGTCAGTGACTGTAATCTGATGGATGCGGGAATCGGCGAAATAAACTGAATGCGTTAGTTGAGCTTCGCAGGAGTTGCTGCCTGACGGCAACTCCAGTTACAGTTATTGAGAGGGGGAGGCTCAATCCGATCGAAGGTGCCACGTCCACTCAAACGACTGCTATGTCAGTTGACTCAAGAGCCAACCTATGTAGGGATTCCGACCACTTTTTGGAAATGCGGTTTCTTCGATACAGTGACAAGGACCGGAAAATATCTGCGGAGGGTCATAGTAGGCATGCGCTATATTTAACACCCATCACAGACGGCATGCAAGTGATCGTTCACAGGCTATTAATGATGTTGGCTTAACCGTCAGCTACAGCTTCCGCTTTAAAAGCGACGTCTGGTGTACACATACAAAGAAGTTTCACGTGAAAACGATAGTTAACAAATTCATCGTGCATGGTGAACGCAAACGAGGCCTTGAAGGGAAACGAACATTTTTGAAGTGAATGGTTTTCGGAAATCTTTGTAGCACAGGCTGTCCTCCATTACGAATGTGAAGGAACTTGTGCAGCATCGAATGCATATGCTTGTAGATACGTTTTGGATGATTAATTAACCCGCCATGTGATGATGTCGTGAGATACCTGGATGTCGATCTTACGGGCGATCTTGAATAGACACGGACAACAAGTTCTGTTAAGTGCCAGCGAAGGCCGATTGTCTCTCTTCTCTTTTCCTCTTCTATATGCAGAACGAGATTACCGACAAAGATAAGGAAGACTGGGATGGCCATTTCTGACCTATTATCCGTCTCCATCCAGCCCTACCCACACCAGACTTGTGAGCATCTGATGACTGGGACACTACTGACTCATGTGTTAGTCGACACGTTGAGTAAGACACATTGTGCAGAAATAGCAAGGAGGAGTGGATGAGAATTCAACCAGTTCAAACAGGATGACGGCGAACGCCTATCGTCAGAAATGACAAATCAGTGTCATTTTTAAACCACAAATAAAATTTCACTGTTTTGCAAACCTACTCCAGTGTTTCTTACTGTTTGTGTGTGCGTTTGTTTACAGAAGATCACGGTTTTTCTGAAGAATCTCGGTCTTCCAGGAACTACGTTGAAGTCACAGCATGTCGAATTACTGCGTTTACTCCGCGAACTCCGAAATGAAAACTTGAACATAATGGTGGGATGTTTTCTTGATTGCACATCGTTCCAACTTGTTTATGAGCACTGCTGTCGAGGAAGTCTAAAGGCAAGTTATACGAGATAACGGGTTCTGTCCACAACTCCCTAGCTGTGATTGCTTGAAGTAATTTAATGGGGTTGCCCGTGGCTTTAAAATGCCCCGAATCTTGCATTGTCTTTAGCTTCAACTTTCATTTACATCTTCCTAATTCAGACCCACAGGATCACTTTTGCATCGCTGATGTCTTTTGTATTTGGTAAATATTTTTAAATAGATCAATAGGACTCCAGGTTGAGTCCAAAGACACAACGGGAAGAGTATGTCGCGTAAGTTAGGCGATGAGCGCCCCATTACCGTGATATACATACACATATATCCCGTTCATCATCCCCCGAAGAAGACGAAGAAGAAGATGGGGCGAATTCATGGACCGAGTTATATTTGTACTGACGTTTCGGAAACCCTCTCGTTTCCATCATCAGAGTAATGCGTTGACTGTTCCTGCTGGTCTTGATTGCGTCAGCCTTGATACCTGCCTGGTATTATATCCGTGCGCGAGGCACGAACTTTGACCTGCACGTTCGCCGCCGATTAGCGTTGACCTCTCCACGATTGACCGCCGGTGGGCTCCTGCCACTAATGACCCCTTTGCGGTCGTCGTAATTGTTGGTGAGCCAGCATGTTTGTCGGCCTCCCCCTCGTCACTCAACGGACTGAACAGTTGTTGGGGCTCATGTGAGTTGATCTCAGCCTCGTGGGTGTTGCGGTGAGGTGGCGTCGCATGCTGGTCACATGATCCCCGACCGGCTTCTCTCCCACTTTCTGCTGACATCGGCTGTTGGCCACGCGTCACTTTGCTCGACTGTCCTGATGGCCTTGTCCGCACTGACTCGAGCCTTGTACGTAGCGCCTGATAGGCGGGATGCAGATCTATGGCTCTGTTGAGTGTGCCAGTCGAGAACCAACTTTCGAGCACCAGTCTGGCCATCTTATCATTGGCTCGGCCGATTACCCTTGCCTTTTCAAAGGCGAAATCGTGGTTCTGCTGTTTGACGTGGCCATAAACCATAGACAGCTTGTCCTTGCGGTTGATTGCAAGCTGGTGTTCATGCAATCTTGTGCCAAGACGTTTGCCCGTTTCACCAACATACCTTGCATCACAGTTTTGGCATGGTATGCTGTAGACCACCGCTGATTGTTCTGTCACCGGTAGCGGGTCTTTGGGTCTCATTATTTGCTGTCTGATTGTTGACTCTGGCTTATGAGCCACTCCGATCCCGAAAGGCTTCAGGATTCTTGCCGTCGCCTCTGACACGTTTTTCACATAAGGGATTGCGAGCCAAAATTTCGGGTTTTCTCCGTCCAACCGCTCAGGGTGGGGCTTCTTAAGACACTTGCGTATGAAGGACTTGGGATAACCGTTGGCTTTAAATAGGGCGTGCAAGTACTTAATCTCCTACTTCCTCCCATTGTCGTCGCTGCAGTGTGTTTGAACGCGTTGGAAGAGGGTCCTGACACAACTGCGTTTGTGACCAACGGGGTGGTTGCTCTTGAAGTGGAGGATTCGCCTGGTGTTAGTTGCCTTACGGTAGACCGTTGTCCTTATCTTCCCGTCCTCCAGCTTTGTCACTTGTACGTCAAGGAAGGCTAGCTGATTGTTGAGCTCTTCTTCCATGGTAAACTGGATATCGGGAAAGATTGAATTCAACAGTGCCTTGAAAGCCTGCACATCACCCCTTTTGATGATAACGAAAGTGTCGTCGACGTATCTGGCCCAGAATTTTGGGGGGTACGAGCTGAAGACCAGCCGCTCAAGCCTCTGCAAAACCGCTTCGGCAATTAATCCAGATAGAGGCGAGCCCATCGGTGTCCCCTTCTTTTGCTCGTAGACCTGGCCGTTGAATGTAAAGAACGTCTTAAGACATAGTTCTAGGAGCTCGATGATGTGAACTCGTTTGAGCTGTTGATCGGTCTCATCATACTTTTCCCGGAGAAAACCGTCAATAGTGTCGATAGCCAGCGCGTGTGGGATGGAGGTGAATAATGAGATCACGTCAAAAGACACCATCACCTCATCTGCCTCCACTTCCAGACGTTTGATGCGCACCAAAAACTCTTCAACCGACTTCACTGTCCACTCTGAATCCTTGGTAAGGAAACAAAGTCGCTGGTACAGCCACTTTGACAGCCCAAAGGTTGGGGGTACCACGTAAGGAGACGATGGGGCGTAGCGGCACTCCCGGCTTGTGGACCTTTGGTAGGCCGTAGAAGCGCGCCATTGCGGCATCACTGGCTTTTGCGGCCAGCGCTTCCCTTCTAGTAAGAGCGCCCACCTTCCTCAGCTTGCCGATCGTCTTGTTTATGCTATTAACGAGCTTTTTGAACTCGCTGACAGTTGATGGCGCATAGGCTTCCTTGACCATCAAGAGGTTGCCCAGTTTTTTGCAGTACTCAGCCTTATCCATGACGACAGTAGAGCGCCCCTTGTCGGCGGGCAGAGTGACAATATCCTCTAGTCTTCGTATTTTCAGAAGTTCTCGATCTTCTGCCTTAGAAATCGTCATCTGGCGTTTATGTTGAAGGAGTAAAGTCGACACTTGTTGTCGCATGGCGTTTTTGCACTCCTCGCCTGCCTCGCACTTCTGGAGCGCCGATTCGAAGGATGCAATAAAGTCTTTTGGTCGAGCATCTCTTGTGCTGAACTTTGCGTCATAGGATAGAATGGCTAGTTGTTGCTGAGTGAAACGATGGGAGGACAAGTTGTGAACCAAGACGCCATCAGTGGAGGGCTCCTTTAGCGGACTTATTTTCTGAAATTTTCCAGACACATACATCGATATGCGTAAAGAACAAAGGTCACGCAGGCCTGTCAGCGGTCAGCCCCGAGGAGGTCTAAGCCAGTCAGCGGCAAACAGGCAGGTCAAAGCTCGTGCGCCGAGCACGGCTATAATACGAGGCAGGCGGCAAGACTGAACAATTCAAGACCGGCAGGAGCAATAGGTACGCTACTCTGATGATGGAAACGAGGAAGTTTCCGAAACGTCAGTTCGAATAAAATATGGTCAGTGAATTCGCTCTCTCATCTTCTTCGTCTTCTTCGAGAGATGATGAACGCGATACACATATATGCATATATTGTGATGGAGGTGCGCTTACCGATTGCGTTACGGAACTCACTCGTCCCTTTGTGCCTTGTGCTCTCTCTTCAGTCCCACCATCAGCCACAAAACAGCGCATAATATGGACGAAATAGCATTACCGACAAAGAGCAGGGAGACTGGAACGGCCATTCCTGGCCATGCCAGTCGGTAGCATTGTTTGGCGGAGAAAAAGTTTGTTTCTGGACAAATATCTAGTAGTTGGAGCAAAGCGTTGGTAACTGAGAAGTACTCTT